AAATCATGGGGGAAATTATCTTCCTCTCCCCTTTGCCTCTCTGTCAGACGGCCGCTAATTAGTGTGGCTTCCCGTAAGGCAGGCGAACCAGAGATGACACGGGATGACGTCACCGCAGCCGTACGAGCCTTCCTCATGACAAACCGGAAGCCCGAATCCCGGGGTTTCGTCCGCTGGATATGACCAATTAGTCGCGAATTCCCCAAGGCGTATCAAAGAAAATCCAGAATATTCTTTCGGCTTGTAGCTTGGTACCACCAAGCCCGTGACTGGTATCTCATCTTTTTTTTCTCATTCTTTTTTTTCCTTACCAAGCTAAAATACCTCAGGAATTATATTTGTCAATTAGAAAGTATTCACAATCTAACTTATAAATAAAAAAAAATATCGCGCAGCAGAGACGAATACATATTTATTATTAGATAAGAACTCAGGTGGTACGTCGTAAGGAAGGTCTCATTAGCACGCAAGCTAGGTCCGGGGAGTTAGCCCCCCATAATTCGAAAATTGTAGCGGTGAGGCGAAAAAAAAACACTTTTTTACACTTATGGAAAATCAAACTTTTTTTTTTTGTTCGAGGTTGCTCTAGTTGATCTAAATATTATTACAGAATATTAATATCGCTAAGTAAAGAATAACCGAATGGGATCAAACCCGATCGATATATAAATCTAGAAAAATCATCGATAGACCGAGAACAACCTGGAACAAACTAGAAAAACCTACAACAATCTGGAACAACCTGGAACAACGTGGAATAACCTGGAGCTACCTAGAAAAACCTACGAAAACCTAGGAAAACCTAAAACAACCTAGAACAAGCTGCAATATCCTGGAATAACCTAGAAATCGTTCGAAATGGTCCTATATCCACATGCTATTCTGAGAGTGTTCATCCTCTTCAGCTTTTCCAGTGTTTCCCTGGTTTTACGTGTCTGTCCTACCTGATTAACCTGGAACAACCTGGAGCAACCTAGGAAAACCTACGAAAACCTACGAAAACCTACGAAAACCTACGAAAACCTACGAAAACCTACGGAAACCTACAAAAACCTAAAAAACCTAGGAAAGCTTAAAACAACCTAGAACAAGCTGCAACATCTTGGAATAACCTGGAAATCGTTCGAAATGGTCCTATATCGCCATGCTATTCTGAAAGCGTTCATCCTCTTCAGTTTTTCCAGTATTTCCCTTGTTTTACGTGTCTGTCCTACCTGATCAACCTGGAACAACCTGGAGCAACCTAGAAAAACCGACGAAAACCTAAGAAAACCTAGGAAAACCTAAAACAACCTAAAAACACCTGGAACAACCTAGAAAAATTTGAAACAACCTAGAAAAAACCTAGAACAACCTGGAACAACAAAAAAATTTTAATTTTCCATAAGTGGGGGGTTCCAGCAAAAAAGTGTTTTTTTTTTTCGCCTCACGGCTACAAAGTTCAATTAAGAAACTTGTTTTTCTGGAACATTATAGAACAAACTTAGAGTAAGCCAGAACAACAAATAGAATCAGAATTTTCGAATTATTGGGGGCTTACTTCCCGCACCCACGCGAGCTTAAGAAAAATTTTAAAACTTCCCGATTGGTTGAGGAGAATGTATATTTTTATATTACATACAAAAATGAAGGCTGCCAATTTGGCATTTCCAAGAATAAGTCAATTTATTCGTACAGAAGGCTGTACTTTATTTTTATTTATTTTTCCTTTTGTCACACTGCACGTACTCGAAATCCCTATTTACCGGCTCATCGATCATGATTTGGTCCATCGATTAACGTCTGACGGCAATACAAAGGTTCAGCTTATCCTGGATCAACTTTCGGTTCTTCGACGATCCGCAGAGGTCGTGAAGCATGTGAGATGAGACGGGTGAGGGATGTAAAATGAGGGACGCGAGGGGGTAGTGATCTCTGAGCGTTAGGGGAGAGACCTGATGACCTCCCAGGCTTGATCCCTCCACCCTAGAGGGAGGATTTACTCCAGGCTCATATTGCTGTACATTTAAATACATTACGATATTCGCGTTTGGATTGATCGACCCTGGACTTTGCCCCAGTATTATCCAAATACCGTATTAGCTGTAGTTCACATTGACAAGATGCACGATAAATCCCTCTCGTGTAACATCCATTAAGAGATTCCTGCTAAAAGTCCAATGCGAAGCTAACAAGTTAAAGAAAGAAAGAAAACGACGTTACCGAAGATAATAATTCAGCCCGAAAGGTCAAGGGTTAAATCGACTATTCACCAACTAATTTCACGAACCACCCCTGTACTTAGGAATCGTCCCACTAAATCTTTCCCCTGGGTCTGTTTTTTGAGGTTACACACTTCAGGGTATACCTAGACCCTCCACCCTACTGCGCTATTTACAAATAAATTCATCCACCCTCGCGAAACAACGAAGCGGTCCAGAGTGCGCGTAAGGAGGCTCGAGGCACCCTTAGAAAATTTGGGAATAGGGGCAAAGGGATAAAATGGCAGAAAGGTAAATCCTAGAGATATTTTAAAGCCGTGTAAACTGGACGCTAAGGCCCCTTTGCGGTAGATCCCCAGGTATCTAGCCGAATCCACCCTTAAACCCACCCCTTAGCTACATACCCACAGCATCCGGTACCCACTATTTTCGCAAGACTCCATCCCATCTCATTCTCTCGCCACCACTTCCATTTCCACTTCCGTCGTTCCATACGGCATCTCGTCCTACCCCTATCCACCTATCCAGTCAGCTACCAACCCCCTAACAACACTGCAACTATCTACATACGTCGGTTACAAATGTCTCCAAAAGGCCCTTATTTTGAATTTTTTTATATCTTTAGAATCAGCTAATACCGTTTCGAATTTCAATACATTTTTTGTTGGACGCTATAATTTTTTATTTTCATATGACAATTATTGCGAATTTGACTTTAATGATTATTATATATATATATTTTTCTTACGGTAGATTAACTTATTTTATATTTATGTTTTCGCAAATTCAAAATTTTCGACTTGAATAGAATTACACAAACGGATTTTCGAGAGACGCCAAAACTCGACTCGAATAGAATTCCTGGAGTGGATTTTCCTACGAGCCTGGACATCATCTCCAGGCATCTCGTCCTACCCCTATCCACCTATCCAGTCAGCTACCAACCCCCTAACAACACTGCAACTATCTACATACGTCGGTTACAAATGTCTCCAAAAGGCCCTTATTTTGAATTTTTTTATATCTTTAGAATCAGCTAATACCGTTTCGAATTTCAATACATTTTTTGTTGGACGCTATAATTTTTTATTTTCATATGACAATTATTGCGAATTTGACTTTAATGATTATTATATATATATATTTTTCTTACGGTAGATTAACTTATTTTATATTTATGTTTTCGCAAATTGCGTCATCTCGACTTGAATAGAATTACACAAACGGATTTTCGAGAGACGCCTCCCACCCTCCCTCCTCCTCGACTCAAATAGAATTCCTGGAGTGGATTCCCTCCGAGCCTGGACATCACCTCCAGGGATCTCGTCCTACCCCTATCCACCTATCCAGTCAGCTACCAACCCCCTAACAACACTGCAACTATCTACATACGTCGGTTACAAATGTCTCCAAAAGGCCCTTATTTTGAATTTTTTTATATCTTTAGAATCAGCTAATACCGTTTCGAATTTCAATACATTTTTTGTTGGACGCTATAATTTTTTATTTTCATATGACAATTATTGCGAATTTGACTTTAATGATTATTATATATATATATTTTTCTTACGGTAGATTAACTTATTTTATATTTATGTTTTCGCAAATTCAAAATTTTCGACTTGAATAGAATTACACAAACGGATTTTCGAGAGACGCCAAAACTCGACTCGAATAGAATTCCTGGAGTGGATTTTCCTACGAGCCTGGACATCATCTCCAGGCATCTCGTCCTACCCCTATCCACCTATCCAGTCAGCTACCAACCCCCTAACAACACTGCAACTATCTACACACGTCGGTTACAAATGTCTCCAAAAGTCCTAACAGCGTATACATCATGTCTCCAGCATTGTTACCACTCCCGAAATACATTTATATTATTAATCCCAGAATTGTCGAACGTATACGAAACCACCCCTTTCAACTCCACCCTAACACCCCCGCCGACGCATCAGACACGTTTCAGTAACTCCAGTCTACTTGCTGCCGGTGGACATGAAATTTCCGTTATATCCTGATACAGTGCTTATTCGAGTGGAACCTATGGAATTGGGTCGCGATGACTTTTCATTGAAGATCGCATAGCGGACTTTAATGGGACATTCGTATGAAATTTCGTTAAACCTGTTTTCATGAAATTCAAACGATTTCAATTAGAAGATACGTTAGTCGTCATTCTATGTAAACACGCAGGGGTGTTTCGTTTGATAGATACTTATTATTATTTTTTTTCCTATTGTTTTACCCAACTGCTGTAGTTTTTTTTTTCTTTTTGCTGCACCAGACGGACGGCTGAATTGCGTTACGCGTCGTCTGCTCGAGAATCGTTTGGAAATCTGTGGCTCGTTCAAGTTTCGCTCCTGTCTGATATTTATTACAGAATGAATTTTATCGTGCAGACGCTCTCGCTTTCCCAGACTCGTTATTGTGTATATATTCCGTCTAGATTGCGGGGGGGATAACTATGGTTATCGTGGAATCTGCTTACTTGGAATTTCATCTGACGTGCCAGAAGATGCCAGTTGTAAATCATTGTTCGGTATCAATTGTACGCAACGAAATTGTGATTTTGACTTTTTTTTTTATATTTGATCTATGTAAATAATGGCTGTGTGAAATTCTGAAAGATACTATGGAAGATTACTGTAAGGGAGGTTATGTCCATCTTGTGACGTATGGAGGCTGTATACGTAAGTACGAGGCACGTCAGACTCTGACGGATTGCGGTGCACTTTCCGTGAAGGAGGTCGTCGTATTTGTTATGTTAACCGGAAATTTCTTACCGCTATTTTCCAGATGGAATCATAATCTACGTCATCAGTCCGAAAGGAGGGTGCGCGGAATGGGCGGATCTCGTACATTTCTTATGGTGGGTTAAGTTTGCAGTAAGAACCACTGGGACTAGTAAAGTCGACGAATTTACCTTTTGCGCGTAAGTCAATTACATGAATGTCCGGTTTCATGAGTTTTCGGATATTTATGTATTTTGTAAATTTTTACTAAATTTGAGATTGAAGATTGTGACTGATTTTTCGATTTACGGTCACAAGGCGACTCTGGCTACCGATTCAGATAACGTTCTCGATTTCTGGTTACCTTTGGGTCGCCACCCTGATCAGAAGCTGCGCTCTCGGGTTGATTCGTATAGTTATGTCAAGGCTCTCGTAGGATTTCGTTTTTGTTTAGTTGAGGTCGAGGTGCTCGAATCTGCCGTGGGGAGATAGTCTCGACGTACCGAGTTGCCCGGCAGAGGAGAGTACGTATCATCACGTACATAAGAATCTCGACCAATCAGATGATCAGAATGATTAGTTCTCAAATTTGGCTATTGTCAAGGTCAGTCTGTCTCGGGGCATCGACCGAGGTGTCACGAGCTGCCTCGCGCTCCCGTGCCATTTGTTTATAGTTTTTCTAGCCGTGTTTCGATACGCGATAGAAAGTTCCCGCTCGTGTAGTTCTCGCGGTGCTCTCGCGATATTCAGGAAATTCTATGGATTTTCAGTGAGTGCTCCGGAAGTGCAGTGTTGCGAAGTGCAGTGTGCCCTAGTACAGTGCCCATCCTGGATGTCTCCTGGATGCGGTTCTCGGCCTTCACGGATCAGCTGCACCAGCTCCGGTGAGTCTCCCAATTTATTAATTGGCGAAGGGATTTCGATTTGATACGTCCGATTCGATCTATTACGTTCTCGATCCGTCGCTCTTTGTTTCTCGCACTATTTGCCTGACGTTTACAGCCTAAACTGCCGCGCATTTCTGTAACCGTCCGCTCCCGTTCGTGCATCCTGTTCCGTTTGTTGATTTTACGCGACCCCAAAAATCAGCACCTATGGTTGCCTTTCTCGATTTTAGGCGTCCCCAAAAATCTACAGGATCCGTTAACTTATCGCATTATCCGATATGTTCCGTCAGAGCTCTCTTTTTGCCGGAGTTGGGCCTGTTCTACCCCAACTCCCACCGACTCTTCAGTTGCCGGTAAAAAAAAGAATTGGCTGGCGCCCGCCTAGTTTGCGGGTGCATAAGCGAAGGGTGGATGACCGAGCGTAGGCTAATTCTCGAATTTTTCGTTACCGGTATCAAGTTAAGAAAATTACAAAATATACAACATTTCACCTAAAGGCAGATATTAAATTTTTATCGTGAAAATTAAAAGCTGATGAATTAATAATAATTGTATGGTATTCAATTAAACTCAAATTTCTATTTTATAAAATCATTGAAAGTTTTATTTTCTTTTTTTTTTTATTTCTTTTACCATCTCACTGTTAAGTGGTCATATTGACTATCAGCTCATGACTCTTTTGAGACTCATATTTATTTAGAGTAACTGACTTCTTTTTCAATGGTCTTATGTGAATCTCTTTTTTTTTAATACTGTACCCAAGTAGAACAATTCAGATTTGAATCAGACAGCAAGTAATCGGACGGTTATAACGCACAAAGTACTTTTGGATTTCCCAATATTAAAGTAGCGTGTGCCGAGTGAATACGAGGATACCCGAAAATTCCACATATTTCAGCTATTATGAAAATTGGATGGTTCAGCGGTCCCGCCGAGTCGGATGAGTTGGCACGAATGGCGTGCCTGCTCGTTCACTCGCATATTTCTCTAAATATAATTATTGATGCGGAAGAGAAGGGCTCGATCATCGTCCTGGCTTTCGGAACGGGTTACGTTCTCCAACAGCCCTTACACTCCTCGATCGAACCCGATAACCTCTTGAACCTCTCATCAACCGGCTCTATAAATCTCAAATATTCTGGCATTATTAATTCTACGCGCAACAGTATTTCAGTCCGTCTTCAAAATTAAAGCAAGTGCTTGCGAATAGAGAAAATTATTTTGAATTTTTTTACATCTTTAGGGATCAGCTAATACCGTTTTGAATTTCAATACATTTTTTGTTGGACGCTATAAATTATTATTTCAATAGGACAATTAATGCGAATTTGACTTTAATGATTGTTATATATATATTTTTCTTAGATTAACTTATTTTATATTTATTTTTTTCGCAAATTCTTTAAGATTAAAACTTTTAAACTTTTTCTTTTCCCCTCAAAGTCGTCGATCTAATGGCTGCGTACTCAAGTGGAATAATAAAACGTTCTTTTATCTCTTATCTTCTTATCTCTTTTAAAAGAGCTTTCACAGTGTATCGTCCTTTCCAAAGCGAACTTTTTCGTTGCACGAAAAATCGATGACCGAATTACTCGCTGAAGCATTCCAAGATGGCATTACCAAGCATCGTAGTAACATTTTTTCAAAAATTTTATAACCCAAATAGTTCACTGAAAAAAATTTTCGAAAATTTCTCACAAAAAATAACAATACCGTTCCCCGTTCTCATGCGAAATTCCCACGATGTAAATGAGATTCCTATAAAAGAAGACGGAATCAACCCCCTTTTCTTCCGGATGAAAATTTCACCCCCGAGTCCTATAATGCAAAAGCCCGAAGTCCTAACCTAATCAGCACACGATATACCCAGCATTAATACGCATAAAAAAAAAAGTAACAAAAACAGCACCCACACGTATAATAAAAGATACGAATCTCATTAACACTAGGAAGACCGAAACTTAGTATATACCTATATTGCCCAAAGCAGTCAAAATGACTGCATCGTGAAAGAATAACTAATGTGTAAAGAAATTTGTTTAAACTTAATTTTTAATATTTTTTATATTATTTACAGTTATATACTTCTATTCGACATTTCTTTCATGAATTTAGGGCGCAATAGAAATAAAATAAACAACTTGTTAGAACAAGTATCACTGCATAAAGATTCGAATAACAAGTACTACTTTAGCTTATTGAGCGACTGCAACTTATCAAGTATACGCCCAAATCAACAATTAATCATGTACTCGTATGTTATCATGTGACGATAATCGAAAAAAAATGAAAACTGTTATTTCAATACAGAGCCGAACTGGTCATATAAGAAATTTACTCAATTCAATAATAAGAGTCCTTTGATTATTGAAAATTTCCCAAACAGTCAAAATGACTGCTTTTGGGCAATATCGGTATAACACATATATACATATATATATATATATATATATATACATACATACATACATTCGTACATGCATACATACAT